GGAAAATCTCCCTTTTAACAGGAAGAAACCTTCAGCAGAACCAGGCTCAAGGGAGACGCAGCCATCCACTGTGACTGGTTGGGGGTGAGGAGAAAGAAAGGGAGCAAGAAGAGAAAGGAAAATAAACACACGGTATAAAAGGAATCCCAACTGGTGGCTGGTTCCATAATATAGGACCTGATAGCTGAAAGGTCAAACTACAGGCTCTGTTAGAATAATAAGGTATCAGAAGAAGTGATCAGAATACTTGTCTAAGAAACTTCAAGCTGTGTTACTGCGTCACTAAACCATGATTTTGTTTGTGACAGTGTCTCATGACAATGATGTACGAGCATGCAACATGCGTTGTAGCAACAGACGTGTGCACATCAACAATGGATAATATGGAGTGCGGGAGAGAGTACGACCATGTAGTGTTTAAAGTTTAGAAGTAGTGACATTACTTTGAATTTGATTTTGTAAAAAGTGACAAAAACATTTGGGTCCGTTGTATACTTTGCATGGGAAGAAAACTTCTTTCTACAGAGAAAAATTAAACTTTAAATCTGAGCAAGCACCGAGCACGCTGCCATGGGAATGTGAAATTCACAGAAACCCCCGGATCCCCCCACTGACATAAGGGCTGCGGCACCGGACAAACCTCCACCTGCCCCACTCCTGCTAAACAGGTGAAAATAGATTTAAGAGCAACAGGACTTAGTGCTGCTGAATCTTTGATTTTATTTATTTATTGCTGTGTTTTACTTGCATCTATTTGAAAGAGTGTGTGTAAACAGAAAAAAAATAATTTTATTTTATATTCTGGAATATGCAGAAAATAGGTAAAATAATTTCTTCAAGTCAAAGACAGTTGCATATGATTTCATTTTTGCTTGACACAATGTGCATTAAGTTAAAAGATTAAAGCTCATAAAACAATTTTTAAAAAAAAGACTTTTTCATTTGATTCAATTTTATATGATGGATTGTGCAGAAAAAGTAGAAATGGACTGAAAGGTGTATTTCTTTATAACGTAATCAGGTTGTATATTGTATATTGTTTTTTAAAGTAACTAAGTAATAAAGTAACTAATTACTTTTTTTAAAAATAAGTAGTCAGTAAAGTAACAGGATTACTTTCTTGGAGAAGTAATCAGTAATCAGGCGATCGTGGCTCAAGAGTTAGGAGTTCGCCTTGTAATCGGAAGGTTGCCGGTTCGAGCCCCAGCTTGGTCAGTCTCGGTCGTTGTGTCCTTGGGCAAGACACTTCACCCGTTGCCTACTGGTGGTGGTCAGAGGGCCCGGTGGCGCCAGTGTCCGGCAGCCTCGCCTCTGTCAGTGCGCCCCAGGGTGGCTGTGGCTACAACGTAGCTTGCCATCACCAGTGTGTGAATGTGTGCGTGAATGGGTGGATGACTGGATATGTAAAGCGCTTTGGGGTCCTTAGGGACTAGTAAAGCGCTATATAAATACAGGCCATTTAATTAGTAACTAATTACTATTTTCAAGTAACTTGACCAACACTGCTTATAACAGTAACATATTAACAACACTTTCACATTACAGATTTACAATTCTTCAAATTCAACTTCTGAATGTTCTTCTCGGGCACAGCGTTCACTATGCAGCGTTTACACTTTAGTTTTTGTTTTATTGAAGCAATGTAACAGCTTCCATAAACTGTCCTAACTCTGATTCCAAGCCCCATCACTCAATTTCATCACATCACAGCCAGAAGACATGAATGTACGAGGCAGCTCTGCTAACTAATGGTAAATGTCAAAGTAAACAAAAAATAATGTGATGCTTGTTGGAGTCAAATTGTTAAATGTAGTGTTGTGTAGTGTTTTATTATCCGGTTGTTCAGTGATGACGACGAATCCTACTTCCGGGCCTAAAGTAGTCTGCGTTTAATATGGCTTTTGTGTTGTTAACATGTTTAATGTTTTGTATTTTCTTCTATTTGATCTCAAAAAGCTCCTAAAACAGTCAGTGATCACTGTTGACCTCCCTCGGCTTTTATTACCGCTAATCATTTATTTAAGCTCAGTTTTTAAAACCTTAGGATGTAACTACAGCCCAGCCCATGCAGCAGTATATGAATGACTAACCTTCGTATTGTGGATGGATTATCTCAGTTGTTCTCCTGGCTGAAGTTTGGTCCTTTTACAGCATCCTGCCATGCGATTACATTTGTTCCTGACCACCGAGAACACTCACGTTAACTTTTATCGAGTGGAAAAAAAGTTAGCTTGTTTATATTATGCTAACATAGCTGTGTCGCTAGCGGTCACGTAGCACATCATTATATACCAGCTAGCCCAACTTCAGTAACCCTACAAACGTCACTGCTGTTTAGTTTTCTGTCTTCATTTATGTTGGAAGTGATAACAGAGCTGTACGTTTTAATTTGTTTCCAAAACCCCGCAGTCAGGACATGCTATATTGTATTTAGATAGAAGCTAGCGAGCTAACTCCCTGCTAACTTCTAACTCCGTTAAATGTCATAAATTCCGTTTTCATGGATGCCTGGATGTTAAACTCAATTGTTACACCTGGTAGAGCAGAACGCTGATCATTTTATTAAAGATGAAAGACTTTAGACAGTTTTTCAACTCTCAGTAATGCCATAGTGATCGTTTGATATATGGACCTGCAGCGGAGTTTAGGTCCAGACACGGCTAGTGACGTGAGACTGAACAACCGGATAGGCACATCCTAAGTGAGGGTTCTGTTTTCTTGTTTAGTAAACTTCCTTCCTTTATGACCATTTTGGTGAGCAGGAGGTCACACAAACGCACCCCCAAACACAAACACACACACACTCACGTGCACATGAATACACATACAAACACACACACACTTACAAACACATACACACTCAGTGCCTTAGGGTTTATGATACACCATAGGGGGGGTTACAATGGGTGTTTGTGTAAACTGTGTGTCACAAAATAAAAGGCTGCAGGGGAAGGTGGTTCTTCGAAGTGGTTTGAGACCGAGGACAGAAGTGCTGCTCTGAGATCCTTCCCATGCTAGCATGTAAAAAAACGGTTGAGCTGTTCGTCTTGCTTCGTTAACGGGAATAAGTCTCTAAACCAGCGGGACCTGTGAAGCGCAGACCCAACAATTCTGGTGAAAGTTATGTTATGGCAGCATTTAGTTATACTTTAGTTATACTTTTATCATTACTGTCTACTCCACTCACCACCGTCTTGCTTTTTTTTTCTCATCTTCCACTTTTTTCCTCTTTTTTTCACTTGCAGACGGATGAGTCCTCTTTATTTTCAATGACTGGCATCAGTCGTTAAGTTTGTTTAAACATAATGATAAACACTATTTACCAATGGAGTTTGTAAGGTAGGTAGGAGAATTAACAGGGACTTATGAATGACTTATGAATGAATGGGCTCATTGTGGTTTCTGTTCTCTTTATGGTTGCTCTTGCCTTGCAGTATTACATATTGTTTTCTTAGGTTGCATGTCCATCTCTATATGATAGTGTCACAATCAGAGAGCAGCAATATGACAGCAATAGAGCACTACAGATGTGTTGTTTGATTTGAAGGTGTTGATAGAGAAGTACCTACTCATTCTGACTCATGTCAGAATGAATTGTAATGTGTCTTTGTGAATCTAGATAAAGAATATGATAGTGTGGTAAGAGGGGAACTGTGGTAGTGCATGGGGAAGTCAGGAGCAGCAGAGAAGTATGTAAGGGGGGTGCAGGACATATATGTGGACAGAGAGACAGTGGTGAGGTGCTGGATAGGAGTGACTGATGGTTCCAAGGTGGGGGTGGGACTGATTAACTGATGAGGTCAGGCAGAAGCTCTGTGGACCATGATGTTTGCAACAGACAATGTGATCCGTAGAAAGGAAGGGATGAGATCAAAGCAGCTGTTTTGCTGTGGCTACCCCTAAACAGAGAAACTGAATGAAACCAGAAGATCACCACTTAGAACTAGAGCTGAAATTACACCTTTGTTGAATTAATATGACAGCTGTGATGCATGACTTATCATACTCATCATAGTCAGCTGAATGGTAAGAACAACATCCGGGTTATCAACACCTACACCCTGCCCATGATCAGGTACCCTGCCATGGACATCAAGACAAGGAAGCTCCTGACCATGCATGGAGGGTTTCACCCCAAGTCCAGCACCCTGAGACTGTACACTAAGCGGATTAGTGAGTGTCAGTACCACGGTCCAGGATGACACAATGAAAATCCACGAGTACTTCAGGAAGATGGCCACTATCAAAGCCATACTCAGTGAATACCTCACAGCACAGAGGCACTAATCATGGTAGCACAGCAAGGAGATCCATAGAGGCTGAGGTCTATCACATCAGGCAAGACCCCAGGTGCGGGCTTGTGTAAAGATGCCCCTGAGACAATCCAGCACATGACAGCAGGGTTTCAAAGCAGAACAAGATGGCCGTAGTGATAGGTGTAGAATGACAGCAACATCATAAAGAAGGAACACGAGAAGCTGGAGAAGTACCGAGGGCTCAGAAAAGAGCTGGAGAAATGTGGAGGGTGAAGGTAACAGTTGTCCCAGTGGTAATCAGAGACTAGGTGCGGTGACTCCCAGAATAGGCGAGTGGCTCCAGCAGATCCCAGGAACAACATCGGAGATCTCTGTCCAGAAGAGCGCAGTCCTAGGAACAGCTAAGATACTGCGCAGGACCCTCAAGCTCCCAGGCCTCTGGTAGAGGACCCAAGCTTGAAGGATAGACTGCCTGCAGGGGCGATACATATATATATATCTCAAGTTGAACTTAACCTAAAATAAATAAAAAGTAAAATGTTATTATAGTTAATAGCTATACAGTTTTCTGTAGTCTGGTGAGGACTATTTAAAATAATATTTTCCTAATTATGTTTACCTAATTATAGCTAAATATTATTTTTAAAGGGGGGGTTTTAACTTGTAATGGAGCATTTTTCACTGCACCTCTCATTAAACACAACAGGAAACATGCCAGAGAAAAACCACTTTAGTCTACTTCCGCAACGTCAGTAATGACACGTATTCAAAATGGCGGCCGCGGCTATGGTAAGTGGAAATAAAGCGAACTCTTTTTGCTTTAAACAGTACATTGCTCTTTCTTTCATTCCAAATTATGTCGGACATCGCACTGAAGTCGTGGAAAAGTGTTGGTCTTAAGTAGACCGATCAAGTGCTATTTAATGTTAACTAGACTAAACTTCATTGGAATTCGCTGCTATTTGAATGTTCACGATCCTGCTAAACGAGTTAGCTAGCTACCTAGCCTGGTTGTCAGTAAGCGGTGACTCTTTAAAACAGATTCGTGTCATTTGTGTGGAATATATAAAATTGCCCTGACAGAGTATGAACTGTGAAACGCTGGGCTTTCAGACTGTCATGTGATGCACGGTCAAAATAAACAGGTTTTGCAATCTTTAGGGAAATGTTAGCTGTTAGCGCTGTGTCGGCGTGTTACAGTCCTAAAAGAGATGGTAAAATGACCGCACAGGAACAGCTACAAAGTATAAACTTAACGTAAATCGGGTTGGTAGCGCCTGATAACATAAATGCAGTCTTATTTCAGGATTCGTGGTTGGTAACTTCGATCACTTCTTTATGCTTAATGCTAATACAAATGTTTTTTCAGTGTTGAATCATTTCAGTTCATTTTTTAACATGTAGTAATAAAACGGGACGTTTTGCCTATCAGAATTAGCGCATGTCCCCAAAATGTCTTCTTAACTACAGTAAGTAAAGGCACTCTTGTCAGCTCAGGCTTCTCTGTTAAAACATAAAGATCGTATCGAATTTACACATAGTGACAATCTTAAATCTCTGTACAAATTTCAAAACAATTGTTAGAGAACATTGATTTCAGTTGTCCTGCAAACTGGATGGAGGCAAGAAGATTTAAAAGAGTTGATGTCTGCCTCGAGAATATACCTTGAATTAAGTAGTAAGCCGTGTTCCTCACTACTGGGAAGAGAAGTGGAGTCATGTTTGATGTCTGAGACAACACAAGCCTCAGCTTACACGTTCTTAACTTTGTAAAAAAAAAAACAAAAAAACCAGCGAGTATTAGTATTACTGAACGAGTATTTAATGATGAAATATTACTAATAATGGTCGGGGGGGGGGATCTATTCATAGAACTCCTATTTTATTTTGGGTAGTCTCATTTCAGCTCAGTGTTTGAGCTGCATTACTGCTTGTTTTGCCTTTGGGCGCTCTCAGTGAGCGCACCTTCTCATGCAAGCACACACACACGCTGCATATAACGTGGAGCAGACAAGTCAGTAAAAATGATCAATTGTGACTGCCACCTAACAAACGAGATGAAGAGGAAGTTGAGAATATGCACGAATAACTTTGTGCTGTGGCATAATTAATATACAGCTCAACTGACTGCATTTCTGAAAAAGCTGATTTAATCAAAAAATCTGAACATGTCCCCTCCTGGAGCAGCTTACATGTGAGGAACATGTGGTGGTATAGTCAGGTTAAAGTCATGTCATGTGAGAGAGTTCTCCACTGTAAAGATGCCAGTGCTTGGATCAGCTATGCAACAGTCAGACTGTGTCCCTGCTGAGGAGCACTGAAGTTCCTTTCACAGTTCATGAATATTCCAGAGGATCTTTGTTGCATAGCTTTGCCAATTTATTCAAACATGCAAGGTAATCGATTATTTTTAAAATATGTAAATGATATTTACTGCTCTGATGGGACCCCCTTCTATTTCTTAATGACGATTAAGATGATCAGATGAAAAAATAAAAGCACTGAGAGGACTTTTGTTTGGTTCACTTACACATGCGCACAGTTGAAGTTGATGAATGATTAAACTGTTGGCAGACCTTTCTCATTATTGTAGTAAAGGTGTATGGAAGGTGTTCTTTGAAATGGAGAAACTCAAATAACTAGAAGCTTTTTTTTTTTCTTTTTTTTTTTTGCCTCGATACGATTCTGTAGCGCTTAGTTGTCACTGTGTAAAAGTGAGCATGTCACCCACATTTGCAACCAAAAATAGAGTTGCAGCGGCTATTGCTCAGGAGGTAGAGAAGGTTATCTTTTAATTGGAAGGTTGGCATTTCGATCCCTGGTTGCTCCAATTGCTTGGGCATTCTTGGAACCCCAAGTTGTCCTCAGATGCATCCATCAGAAATAATTTGGGAATGTGTGTAAATTGGTGAATGAGTCATGTTATATAAAGCCCTTTGCTTTAGTCGGGAGTAGAAAAGTGCTGCATAAGAACCACTCTACCTACTCAGCAAGCTCCACCGCAAACTTGCTGCTCTCAACTACTGCTGTTTGTAAAATATGCAGATGTACTGTTAACTAAGTAGTAGGGCTGCACGATTAATTGTTAGAAAATCGCGATCTCGATTCATACTTATGTGCGATCTCATTTCCAAATGACAACGATTTAAAAAAAAAAAAAAAAAGACGACGACAACGATTGTATTGCATTTTGATTCGGGACGTAATCTGCATGGAAACAAGCGCTCACTCTTCCTGCTCAACAAATGACAAGGGCGGAGCCTTATACCACGTGATACAGAAGCTGTGCCGTGTGATGCTAAAATTAGCAGGGAAAAAACAACGGAGAGCACGTCAGGGATGAGGAGAAAGTGACAGGAGAAAATCTGTCCCGGTCAACCACCCAAACATCAATAACAGGAACCTTATGCAGCGCTTCACATCGAACTCCCGCAGGCACAAAGAAATTACGGAGGCTATCGCTTATCACCTGACCAAAGATATGGCTCCCATCAACACTGTTCAAAACGAGGGATTTAGGAAAATGATCAACACCCTAGACAAACGCTACACAGTGCCGTCCCGCAACTATTTTTCTATTGTTGCACTACCTGCTCTATACATGCAGCGTCGAGCAATGGTGGAGACGGAATTACAAGCAGTACAAAAAAAAATCGTGATTCTCATTTTATGCAAAATCGTGCAACCCTACTAAGTAGGCATAAAATCTATGTAAAATATTATATTAAATTAAATTAATATTTAAAATATAATTGTCTGCTTTTTGCAGTAGGATACATATCAATGCACAGGCCAAGCCTCAGTTCTGAGAATGTTGATATACTGGCTTTTCTTTATTGTGGATACACATTTACAAAAACTCATGCACCTTATCTACCTCATCCAGGAGATGCAATACTGTCAGAAATTTAAGACAGGCTTCCTAGAAGATAAACTAAACAGTATTTTTAATAATGCCTTAGTTTAGGTGTCATATTGATCAAGAGCTATAAGTAAGAAATAACCAAAGTGATCTGCCATAAAGCCATTTTTTATTCACAACTGAACATAAAAAATAAGTCAGATCTGTGTGTTGAAGAGCAATATTAGCTCATTTTGAATTTGATGACAGCAGCACATCAAAGAAAAGTTGGAACTTGGCCATGTTTACTCCTGTGTAACAGTCTGTAAATGTCTGGAGTTTGAATGTAGGAATTTTGTCCCGTTTTGTCAAATTGTAGCTGCCCAGCAGTCTTGGACTTTTTTGTCATATTGTTTTTGTTTTATAAACAGTTTGGACTGCAGGCAGTTCAGCAACTGGAATTTTACTGCAAAGCCGTGCTGTTGTCACTGATACAGCATGATGTGGAATTCAGTTTTAATTTTCAGCCTTGACTCTTGCTCACAGCAATTTCTGCAGATTCGTGGAATCTTTTCATATCATGTAGTGTAGACTATGAGACATTCAAAGTCTTTGTAATTTTACATTGAGCAGCCTTATTCTGATATTTGTAGATGTAGATTTTTTGTAGGTTGGTGAACCTCTGCACACCTTCTAAGGGACTATGCCTTACTGAGATGCTCTTTTTATATCCAGTCATCTTTCTGGTTTGTTGCCAGTTAACCTAATACATTCTAAATGTTTCGCCTGCTGTTTGTTTTTAGTAACACTTACTTTTCCAGTCTTTCCCAAGTTTGTGACGTGTTGCTCCAGTCAAATTCAAAGAGTTTATATTTTTCTTTAACAGATATGTTTTTTAGAACATTTTATGCATATTCTACTGTTTAAAAAAAATAGTTCACGTATTTTTTTTTAAGCAGTGTCTTTTTTTTTGGTCACAATTGGGTTTGTAGAAGGTTTCCAAAATCGTGCCCAGAGGCATTATCAAGCTGACGGAACTTGCTTCTCAACTTTCATTCCACTGTCAGCGCACAGTACAACAGAGACACTCGTGGAATTCATTGTCAAATCTAACGTGTGTCCGCTCTGCAGGTGAGGTGGTGGGCCTTTTTGCTGTTGTCCCTGCTGCCTATGAGCCGGTCCTTCTATGTTCCTGGAGTAGCTCCACGGAATTTCCATGATGGCGACGTTGTAGATATCAAGGTAAGATGAAAATTCAGTGCTAAACATATCGGCTGTACTATGAGCACTCAGGGGGAAAGCTACATTCACTCATTTACATTGTCACTCATTTATCACTAGCTGCTTACAAGGGTTTGAAAAGTCCCTAGTTTTAGGCGATAAAGTTGATAATTAGCAATGAGGTGAAATGACACAAAATGATCACTGCAGTGAGTGAGCGGAGGGTCAGGTGGACAAGGTGACAGGGTGAACTCTTTCGTTTTAAAAATAATTGCATCATCTGGCAACATCACCAGACAGTGTTTTTTTTTTTTTTTTTTTTTTTGGTTGTTTTTTTGGTTGGTTGTTTTTTCTTTATCTAAAGAGTAGAAAGTTTGAAGCAACAGAAAGTTAAATATCTTTTGAACTGCACAACCTCTGTGTGGGTGCAGTAACTGCACACAGAGAGTGAGCAGTGGGACAGTACTGTCTGTAAATTTGTTTTCACTCATTTAAAGGGGTAGACGTGATACTTCTAGATGGCAGAGTTGCTAATAAGTATCTACGACAAGAACTGAAAAAAATGTTTTGACTCTATTAAATTAGTGAAAATTGCTACACACCATGGCTTCTAAACATGGCTTTGATTACAGACCCCTTGAAATATTTTACTCTAAAATCTTGTGTTTATTAGATTTTGGGTTCTGTAGCAGGAAATGGGAGGCAGAATATTTGATGTTTGGGAATAATTGTAAGCTTCAGCAAAGTCTGGCTGGTGCGTTTAGCATACTTTGATCAACTGAAGAGTCTTTACTTTGCACAGCTTGCTATCTGAGTGATGTTAAAAATGTGTCTTTTCACTCAAAAATTCACACCATGTGCTTTTCTCCAAGTGAGCACTTTAATCCAGCAAACCTTGCCCTCACAGTTTGGAAGAAGATGTGAGATAGTCTGACCATAAGCCATTAGTTCTGAGCCAGAGTACCCAGGATGGTTATTAGAGCACTGGTTCTCAAACTCAGTCCCCAGACTGTGGCTCATGCTCAAGTACATTCCCAGTCCTCTGGCAGTCCCAGGATGATCCCTGTATCTGCAGAGAGCTCTGTAGTCGATGGAGGCATTGTATGTAGTACGACCAGTCTGTGGCTCACTGTTGCTTGTGCGGTCATTGGTCTGCCACCAAGCCACAGAGAAGAGTGAAGTTCTAACATACAAAAAGATGAAACTGAGTGTTAAAATCTTTGACATACAGTTCTCCCAGGAATGGGAGAACGGGAGCCAGTTTGGGGTGTTCTCACCCTATTGTACTCTGACAAATTTGCTGACGCTTGTCTCTCTCATCGTCAAAGATAAAACAATGATGGTGCAAACACTGGAAAGAGATCCTTTTGTTTTTCAGGCGGTAAAGCTGACCAGCTCCCGTACCCAGCTTCCTTATGAATACTATTCCCTGCCATTCTGTAAACCAAAAAAGGTCTTCTACAAGGGAGAGAACCTGGGTGAGTGCACTGCTGCTTATGTGATAAGTTTAAAATTGTTTACATTTTTATCATATATATCTATAAATATATTTGTGATTTTTTGTTTTGTTTTGTTTTTTTGGTTTTTTTTGCGTGTGTGTGTGTGGTTTCCTTGTTGTTTATAGGTGAGGTCTTACGTGGAGACCGTATTGTAAACACCCTTTATAACGTGGAGATGAGTAAAGACAAGAAATGTGAGCTGGTGTGTGAAAAGAGAAAGCTCAACATAGACGAGAGTAAGCTGATGGCTGAGCGAATCCAGGAGGAGTATTATGTTCACCTGTGAGCGTTCCTTCTTACTGCTTTCAGCAGGCTGAATTCATTTAAATGCTTGTCCGGTTTGATAGGCTTTATATCTCTGGGCTGACTTGCTTCTAAAGCATCTATTTTGTTGTTTTTAAATCCCTTCTTTTGTGTGATTGCAGTATTGCAGATAACCTTCCAGTTGCCACCAGGTTAGAGTATCCAAGCAGAGAGGGAGGAGAAGAGGAGGATCAAAAGAAGGACACGATAAAAGATGTCCAGTTTGAACATGGCTACAGATTGGGCTTCTTTGACAAAAACAAGGTACGTACATTACACAGACTCTTCCATTTCTGCTTAAAGGAGAAGAGTGCACGTAACTTAAATTGCTGCTGATCAGTACCAAAGTATTTACAGCATATTTACCATGTTTCCCCACAAATTCATTGGATAGTCTGCCAACAAAAAAGCTGCCAAAATACACTGGAGGACAAACATCAACAGGACAACACAGTGTAAAAATCAAAGAATTCTGAAACTTACTGAAACTTTATCTGTCCTTAACTGGCTTTAGACAGATAAATGTGGCTCCTCCCCCATGAACATGAAGAGGAAGCAGGCAGTGGTCATCAAGGCTCCTCAATTCATTTTTATTTATATAGCGCCAAATCACAGCAACAGCCTCCTCAAAGCTCTTTATATTGTAAGGCATATGGCTTACATACCTTACAATACACTGAACAATAACAGAGAGAACCCCAACAATCAGGCTCAAGGAGGAACGGTCAACTACGTGACTATTTAGGGGTGAATGGTGGAAGATGGGACAAAAGATGCACTGTGAAAGAGCAAGAGCTTAATAATAACTAATGATTACATTCAGTAGTAGTAGTTTAATGTTTTTACTGGCTCCTTCAGGTTGGAATTTTAAAGAATGATTCAAAATAAAGGGTGATAAAGAATGATTTACTGATCGTCTGTGGCAGCACAAAGCCTTTGCTTTAGAGACATAGTGTCAGTTCTATGACTGAAACCTTTGCACGGGTATTTTTGCAGCTGGCCTTATGGTGTATGTAATTCCAGGAGTTTCCCTATCAGGAGAAGAATATTTAAATGAATCCCAAAAACATGATTTAAAAACTTTGCAGCATATAATTTTCTGCAAGTTGCACTCAATTTAAGGTTGGATATATACACGAGAGGTCAGCTTTAGTTGGTGATGTAGTCCATATGCAGAGAGTAAAGACATGAATATATGAAGAGTGTTAAATTATTCTCTTTTTTTTCTCCCTCCCAGTTTTATCTGCACAACCACTTGTCCTTCATCTTGTACTTCCACAAGGAGAAACTGGTGGAGGGGGACCTTCATGACTACAGGGTGGTGCGATTTGAGGTTATACCCCGGAGTGTCAAAGTAGAAGGTTGGTGTCAGCATACTCTTTTTGAATCGCCTGATGTTGCTTTAGGCCTGTAGTGAGTTAAAGGAAAGAGGAAGTAGATTTGTTGACTAAAAAGTTAAGTAAAGATTACCGCTTATACTTACTCTATCCTGTGTCCTATTATTTTTCTCCTCAGATCTGAAGCCTGCAGAGGCGCTGAAGACCTGCACCCTACCTGAACTCAGTGGCTCTGCCGCTCAAGAGATCGACCCTACCAAGGAGAATGAAGTCCTGTTCACCTACTCTGTACACTGGGAGGTCAGTTAAGGCTGAATGTGTTTTCAAGTCTTGCAGCCCAGTAGTCATAAAAATGTGTAGCCCTGAATATCTGCTCAAATGACTTTGTTTACATAACTGCTTTAACTTGATTACAATCCTCATTAATGAAAGCCTGTTTAAATGTTGCTGAAATGTATACTTTGTTTAATGTTTAGTGTTGCGCACACATATAATGTCAGAGTAGACTGCAGAGTTTACAAACCTTACCAATGTTAGGAGCAGTAGCCTTGGTTCCTTCGTTGCAGGGTTCCTGGTAAAGAACGTGGTTATAGCTGTGTACATTTGTTATACTCAAGTTTATTATTCTGACATATTCAATCTAATTAAATAATTTATTAATAATAGTCATAAAAATAATGTGCAACAAACTAATATTTTGGGCACCTACTAGCAAATTTTAAATGTGTAGTCATCTAGTCGTGCACAAAAGTAGAGAAAGGACTGAAGCTCTCTCTCACTCTCTCTCTCTCACTGTGTGTGTGTGTGTGTGTGTGTGTGTGTGTGTGTGTGTGTGTGTGTGTGTGTAGGAGAGTGAAGTGAAGTGGGCGTCTCGCTGGGACACATACCTGACCATGAGTGATGTCCAGATCCACTGGTTCTCCATTGTTAACTCTGTGGTGGTCGTCTTTTTCCTCTCAGGTATGTCCAATTCATGTTAGAATTTACCTGTGGCTCATGGCATCTTACTCTTACTATTTCAGTCATTTCTATTTATTTTTTATGATTTATTTTCACCACCAGTTTGCTGTCGGTGCAGTAAAGGCATGAACTAATATAATATTTTTTATATATGTACAAAAATGTATAGAAATTTGTAAAATATGTATCAATCTAGTGGATACAATTTGGCAGATTTACAACTGAACTTTAGATTTGAATTTAAGAAGTTTTTGTTTTGTTTTTCTGTGTGACACCTAGGTCCTTTTTCCTGTCCTGTTGTCACTGCATTTGATTTGATTGTTTTGGATAGTCTTTTTAAACACTGTCACTTGTTTATTCAACATGTCATCGTTGATGCAAGTTTGAGCAGCTTTTAGAATGGACGTCAAGAGAACTTGCCTTTGTCAGCATAATACTGTGTATAAAATACTAAAACACCATCATACTATCCATCCTTCATAACAACTCCATTCTTTGGCTAACTGAAACATATAAATGAAACTTTATTATATATCGAAGAGATCATTGATGGGTTTATGACAACGTATTAAATATTGCAATTGTATTTTATTCTCTGCCTTTCTCTCTCAGGTATTCTGAGTATGATCATTATCAGGACCTTGAGGAAAGACATTGCTAACTACAACAGAGAGGATGACATAGTAAGAAAATACACAGCATCCAGCCTCTGGATTCTTAATGATCACTACCTGACCACATTTTTCTCCTCTCTAACCAGGAGGACACCATGGAGGAGTCGGGCTGGAAGAATGTCCACGGTGATGTGTTCAGACCACCACAGTATCCCATGATCCTCAGCTCTCTGCTGGGCTCAGGGATCCAGCTGTTTTGCATGATCCTCATTGTAATCTGTGAGTTTCTTATTTCTCTCAACAGTTTTCTGCACATCCTGACATTATTTACATTTGTGCTTAGGCCATGTTGTCCTAGTCCTGTCATTTCTTCACAAAGACAAAACACGAGGAATGCTCTCAAGGTGACAGGGCTCACCTTACATATATGAATCAGCAAAGATAAGAGTGTGAAAATATGAAACTGCTCAGTGTTGCACATTTCTACAAAACAAATGCACGTTCTGTAGCAAATTGTTAATGTTCTGTGTTTCGCACTAGGAGTGTGAACAAATACTCAAAGCTGAATTTCTGTCAGTAAAGTAGTTAGACCCTGTGCTGCTGGGGGGTTAATGGTGCAGTATCCACCTGTTATACTGCATACTATGTGGCAAAGGTGCAGCTCTTAATGACCTGAGTTGTGAGTGGTGGATGATTCACATACCATAAACTTCAACTTCATCTTTTAAAGAGGTGCAAGTTTGTTAAATGTAAATGTTGTTAGTCATGACATTTATCCTGTTCTTTTGCCGTATGACTGTTTTTATATCTGTTTAGAACAGTTAACAGTAACATCAGGCTTATTATATTCTTTATCTGCTTTAATAGTTGTAGCTTGTATCTTCAAAAAATATCCAGCAGGGATTATTTCAGGCTTGAAATATTTCAACAGGAACTTTTTTCAGTGATTGTGACAGTGTTTACAGCCTAGCTTTGCAACAAAGACAGTGATTTACACTCAGTCCACTTTGGAAAAACCTTGGATGACAGAATCTGTGGAATCTTAACTATGCTCACTGAATAATGAGTATGGTAGTCATGAAAGCTTCATGCGTTGCGGCTCCCTCGTGGTGTAATCATTTCCCATTTCCTGTTGAGAAAAAGATGGTTGTTCCATGTTTTTCGTTGCGGAGCTGCTCAGGGATTCAGGGGTAGCCTAGCCTATTTGTGAGATGTAGGTATTTACATTTTTTTTTTTTTTTTACTTTTTTATGTTTAAATAATTGTACTTGTTGTTTGAATCAAAGAGTTAAGCTAAAATCCATAAAATGTGATGTTTTACAAAATGATCTGTTGGTGTTTATTGTAACTGTCACAAATTTTGCCAAATGCCATATTAGTCCAGGGCATAATTGTCTTGTATTCTGATTAACATATGGAAGCTTATTTTATTTAATTGCAGTTTAGAAGAGCTCCTGCTAGCTGAAGCTCTGTGTTTAGCATAGGAGCCCAGGAGTCCTGCCATCTTCTTATCCGGCTCTCATTTGTGTTTAGTTGTTGCCATGTTGGGCATGCTGTCTCCATCAAGTCGAGGAGCCTTGATGACCACTGCCTGCTTCCTCTTCATGTTTATGGGGTAGGAGCCGCATTCATCTGTCTAAAGCTCATTAAGGAATTGAGAGGCGCCGAGTTTCAGAATTCTTTGATTTTTACACTGTCGATGTTTGTCCTGCAGTGTATTTGGTGGCTACTTTGCTGGCAGACTGTATCGCACACTGAAGGGTCATCGATGGAGGAAAGGAGCATTCTGTGTGAGTTCAGGTTCTTACAGCAGTGTGAAGAAGCGGGGGAGGTGGGGGGTTGTGTGTGTGTGTGTGTGTGTATGTATGTATGTGTGTGTGTATGTATATATAT